TCAGAGACAGTACAATATGTACATATTTATGTTGAACCAAGGACAGTCACCTTTCACTGGGCTAGCAAACTGGCCAACACATTTTCTTCCCAGTAACTTCCAATGGGTCAGTGATAAGTTACAATGCTAAAATCCAGAGCTCAATTCTCCATGATTGACAGAAGACAGTTAGCTTACTGTGTTGTTTTGTGCCAAAACTAGCAAGATATCTACTTGTGCTATCCATATGACTTTCCTTTCTTATTCAACATAGGGAAGGCCGTAACCTTAAGATATCATCAGACCTACTAATGAAGAGCCCTAAGTTTGTCTGCACTCTTTCACAATGTGCAGCATTATAGCAATATTACTAACAGTGAAACAGATATTATCTCTAGAGAATATCAAAAGAAAAAAGGCAACCAGAATCGGATCAAGTTAACCATTTTCCCGACCATGTGTTATGAGAAAACTGCATACATTCAGAGTAAGTGAAAAATCTTGAATTTTTTTTTTGCATTAAAATGAGAATGAAGAAATTCCATGGTGTGCTTGCATACCAAAAAGACTCAGCTTATTTTCTGATGGAAATGACTAACAGTAATAGTGACTTGGATTATGCATGCACCCTGCAAAAAAAATGATATTGTTGTTTCGTGTGCATAATGCTATCTTTGTAAGTTAAAATTTTAATTCAGTTGTTTATATGCTAAAGAAAGGTAATTATGATGATGACGAATTGATCTAGAAAGTTCGTAAAGGAAATAGAAAACGAGAATGATATAAATGCCAGAGTAAATGAAGCAGTAAACAGTGCCCCAGGGAGTCATCATGGGTCCTAGGGAAGAACTGATATGTACACCCACCCACCCCAAATAGTTTTAGAAATGATGCCACATAAACGAATAAGTGATCGAAGGCACAGTTAATATTTGCTTAAACGTTTGTAATGATTTGATTTGCTTTATTCTCATTTTAACCCACTCTCATGGGGCCTGAGGAAATATTTTCTACCTCTCCACCTCTCGGTGGGCCTGGTAGTGAATCGATGAGATGTTCAGTTTTGTTTTAATAATGAATTAGATCATGAGAGTTAGTGCTTCTGTTTGTCAGCTAGCGTGTTCATTGTCGATTGATTAGCGAAAGCATTCTACAAGTAAATTTATAAGAAATTTAGGCATATGTATTATTAGTCTCGGAATATTTGTGGAAACATTGTTTCTAAGGTTAGACCTAAAATTTGCGTACCATGTATTGTAGAAAACGCTATTGAAGAAATAAATTAATTCGTTACTGTTACATGGACCAGACGTGTTATTATTTCTACATTTGCCAAAGTTTCTCTAACCTAAAACACCATTTACTATTAAATATGAAATAGAAGAACCAATTTGGTCTACACCTGTTAGTATTACTGCTGTGCTATCTGTAACTGTTACATATTTATGGACCACTCCAACCATGGACACTATCAAATTAAATTCCATAATTTATTTTATCAGATCAACAACATAACTCAATTGAGGAATCATCAGATTATGATATAATGGTACCATGGAAGCCATATAAGGTTCAGTCTGAAATAGTTTTTAGAGTGAATGGGTTGAATAGTGAGCAACAAGTCATTCAACAAGAAATTAATCAACTTTCCAGCTGAGATTTGCAATAAATATCAAGCATTGGCAACTGTCTTATCCAACAGGTACATGTATATGCTAATTATATTGTGGACCCAAATATGTGTATGAATATTTTTGAGAAATATTTTTTTTCAACCTAAAATCAAAAATAAACACCTTATATATTTCAAATTGTTCTGTGACACAGTGTCAGATCATTCTTTTTTTGTATGAAAACTTGGTGAGTATTTTAACTATAGAATATGTATTTCTTAGATGCAAATCTAGATTCTACAGTTCAAAGTACTACATAGTTATGGTATATGAAGATACCATGCATTATAACTTCTTGTAATATTGTAGCATTTATTTCAAATTTATACTTTGTTCTATATATGGCCAGGTTTTACATAACACTTGGTCTTCAAAACTAATAAGCTGGTTTGGTTCTTGCTACCTTTGTTTCTTTGTCATTCTCTAGAGATAATACCTACTCTGACTGGGAAGATATTGCTCAATGCTGCATATTGTGCAAGCAATGTCTTTCAATGGTAGTAGTTCAGGTGATATCTAAAGGTTACAGCCCTAACTATATTGTGATGAAAATTAGAAGTCATATGGGTAGCACTAGTTGTTCTGTGTAAATGCAAGGTTTTTTGCGTACTATAGAACATTGTATTTAAACAGTTTGTAACAGGATCTTGAAGAGTCAACCATTGAGAGTATCTAGTAAAGGAAAAAGTCAGTCATATTATCAAGCAAGTGCACACACTATGTTTGTGTTTAACGTCTTAATAAAGAGTGTGCATCTTGTATTATATGTTGTGTCCAGTCTCATTAGTTCAATTTAGAACGAATCAATTAGTAAGAGATTTAGATATATCACTTCATACCTGATATATTGAATAAATCCTCTGTTATCAAGTGAGTCTATCTAATATAGTTCTGAAGTGAAATTTCACCTGAATATACCAAGGAGGTAACAATTCTATGGATTCATGATTGTATCTTACTCTGCCTTGATGAATATATGGCCTACTGAATAATTATTTTCTACAGTTAGTGCAATATACACCAGGGCTTGGCTCCTTGTCTTTTTCATCTTATTACCTTGGCAATTATCTGGCACATGAAATTTAGACACTATCTGGATCAAATTTGATTCTGTGGTACGTGATGGTATCATGTCCTTTCTACGTTCCCGTAGTTAATATGTGAACGTACTGAAATCGCTGTATTTTCTTTCAGCTACATTTGGATGTGGAAAGTAGTTCAAGTAAATTCATCTTACTTAAATTTCTAGCTAGTTCTCTCTGGGACCTTGTTCTTTAATTGGCAACTAACTGAGTTTTTTTGCAGGGAAGCGAGCATGTGACACACAGGAATAGACATCTGTGTTTTCTGTAAGTGATTTGGATAATTGTCCGGTTTTTCCTCTACCCCAGCACTTGAACATGAGTAGACAAAAGTCAGGTTGAGAATAAGTTTCATGTGCAAACCTCGCTTAAATTGCTGTTGGATTATCTTGAATTAAAAGTCAGGTTCTTCCCTATAAAGTAGATTTCAAGGAAATCTTTTTTCTTTGGAACTTTTAGTAGACTGAGAGATACTGATAAGATTTATGACTTAACTTTTCATTAAAGCTGTTTGTAAGATTTAACATTATTTTCGGATAGAAGCGATCTTAAGATTTTTTTGTTTTCAAATACTATTGTAATTTTCTTTTTCATTGAGATGGTTCTTTGAAATTATTTGGTGAAAACAAGGTCAAATACATTTCACTTAATGATAAATAACAAATTAGTTTATTTCTTCCTTAAGTTGTGGCCACAGACTACTATCGCTTGTGAACAATTGTAGGCCCTAGTTGACAAATAACGTTTTCACTTTCTAAATTTACTCTCCGATGGCTCAGCACTAAGTCTGAAGGCTTATAACAGGCTTTAATACTTGTGGTGGATGTAACACATATAGCTCATTGTGTAGTTTTGCGCTTAACAACAAAGAAACATATATTGAAATTCAACAGATTTAATCACTAATGGCACTAAGACTAATGTACAAATAAACTTACTTGTACAATTTCACAGCTAATCAATCAAGTTACTGAATGTATGTGATAACTAACTCTGATCGAAATACTTCATTGAGGGAGTGGCACTAGCAACTGAAAACTGTCTGAATGCTCCAATGATAGACATTTTGCAAAGCCTCTAACTCACTAGTATTTCTAAACATTCTTTATTTTCTAGGACTACTTTTATAAACTTACTTAATCGTAACGTCACGCATCCTCTAGCTATCATCTAAATTACAACTATGAAAATATAGCTTACAGTAATATCTTTTTCTAACTTTCGGGTTATTTTCATTTTGTAGTACCTCTTAGTTGTACCTTACCTTATAGAGAGATGAGGTAGTGGTGGCATATATTGGATCGATGAAAGAGACCTCAATACGGTTTCACTTCCTTTCTCTCTCTTTCCAGTCCGACACAGCCACAATAGATACACTTGCCTTTGTTTTATTATTTTATTTGTTGTTGTGTTGTTATCTGTTAATAAAGATTGTTTTTGTGCTCCTTCGATGGTTCAATTCTTTTTTCAGATCCACTCTGTTAGAGATTGGAGAGATAAAAATCACATACCTCATAACTTGGTGTCTTTCGAACCTCCAGTTAGCGGGTCCTAACTATAACCGACTGAAGAAAATCCGTAAGCCGGAAAATATAAAATATGGATTTCAGAGTTGATGCTGCAGAAGACCAGGCTACGTTTACTATGAGTTGTTGTATTAAATTCGAAAACTTAACAAATATCTGTTTTATAGAAAATGTATTAATCGTTTTCCGAACGTTGAGGTGAACGAAACTAAAATTTTAGATTTCTATAATTATCGCACTAATATTATGTAGATAAATACTCGATATCGTATAGGTAGGGTTTATTTCTGTCGTTATTGTTATTTTTCTGAGTGGAAAATTACATAATGGGCTATTTACACTCTGTCCACCGCAGGGAATCAACCCACGATTTTATCACTGATAGTCCATAAATTTACCGCTGCTCCTCCGTGAAATTTGAACTCGTTTATTATATTAATTATTTTAATTATATTACGTTTCTGCTTATGACTGAATTTGAATATGTTTTTTTAGAATTATTAAAGATTGATAATAAGTTAATGTTATATATATATATATTCACTTATTTCACCTGATATTAATCTACATGAATGTAAAGCTTTTAAAGAAAAAAGAAATAGCAAGACAACGACAGTAAAAAAAAAGAAGAATAAAAAAAACTTATTCAAGTTTTAATTTTAAAGTTTTAAGTATTTCCCCCTATTGGATAAATACTTTTATCACGTGATTATTTGACTTCCGGTTAAGTGGGAGCAGTTGTGATTTAGATTTGAGTAAAGCTTATTGTTCTTAGTTTTTTCATTTATTGTTAATGATATATTTGTTGTTCTGGTTCTCAGTTATGGTTACATATTTTGCTAAATATTTGACGATTTTGACATGAAACAGTGGTGAGTACAGTTGCTACGAAGGAATATGAACTGTTTTGCAGGTTATGTGTGTGTAATTTATTAGTTGTATGTCCTAGGGCAATGTACTCTCTCTTTCTCTGTCAAAAAAATGTACGTAGCCCATTTTTTCGGTTAAGCGCTTTTGTAAATTTTTGACCAGGCTTTCTCAGCCTCTGTGAGTGTGAATGCTAGTTATAGTAGTACGAGCATTTAAAAATAAAATCATTGGTGAAAGGTTTCAAAAAATCTGAAATATACTTATAAGTTGTATAGTAAAAAGTAAAATTAAAAATTACACCTGCTTATTCAAAAGTTATTGTCTTCTCTGTAAATTGGAATGCTCTAATTTATGTGAGAGTCGAGTAGATGTATTAACAATATACGTTATATAGCTAAAAACGATAACATTAACTATATAATAGTAATATTCAACTTGTAAAAATTATAATTGTAACTTAAAAGTTAATAAGTTCCATCATTTGTATTTGCAAATTACACACTAACACAGCCACAGTCAAATGATGGCACATTTTATAATCATTATTATTGAGAGTGGAAGTCAATTGAATCAAAACCAGGCTTTAAGATTTTTTTTAAATTAGAGAATGGGACACCCAAGATGAACCAATAAGTCCCATTTTGTCCCAAAACATTATGTTATGTTATAAAATAACATTGTAAAAATCTAATAGAATAACTTTGATAAGTGTTTATGGCATGAAAGTGTGACTTAATTATTTCACGTGGTATAATTATTACAAATTTCTCAGTGTAGTATATTGAAACATCCCTTTGTATTAGAATGCACTTATTTTATTGATACAGTCAAAAAGCATACCATACATTCTTGTACGTTTACTGAAATTGTTGAACAGAATTATGATGCAAGAAATTTATAATATTAAACTGTAAAGTGCAGTTTACATATTCTGAAGTTAAATACCTCACAGTGTAGTTAGTTGTGTTACTATGGTAAAAACAAATGACTTCTTTATAATTGACTTAGTAATAGTATGAAAATGCTCATGAATAAATGTATAGTATTCTTTCAGGAATTGATATTTCATTCATTCTCAGTGCATAATTTAACATGCATAATCATTGAGTTTTCAAGATGCATTAGAAAATAACATTTTATACGTGTAACACTACAGTGCATGTAAGATGTACAGATTATTATAACTTGGATCGCGTGTTTCATATAGAAAGGACTCCATTCAATAGAGTGACTGAAAAAATTATATTGGCATGGTGTCAGATAAGTTCAAGCCATTAAGACACTGCTCTGTTGCTAATAATACAGTTAATAGAACTTAGGTTGAGGTTATATATGTTAATTTTCAGAAAGCCTTTGTTAAGGTGCTACAGAGGTGATTTAACTGTTAAGTTCAGAACTTTCAAATGAACTGAAAAATTAAATTCAGGAATTTTGATAAAATCTTAACATTTATAAAAAAAAAGATCCAAAAGGTACAGAAACATTAAGAGAGGATCAGTATGTTTTATAGAGTATTCTTAACTGTAAGTACTCAGTTATACACTCATGTTTTCTTCATATCTGGCGGCAAAAATTTTCAGCTGTCATATTGGTTTTATGTAATCTGTGCTTTAGAAGGGACATGTAACAAATACTGAAAGATGATTAGATAACATGTTCACACTAGTTGCCCTTCCATCCTTTTATTTTCAACTGAACAATAGATAATGTCATACTACACCATGGAATTCATTTTAATTTTGTGATTGGTTAGAATTGAGATTCTTATTTGCATAAAGCACATCTTGTATCATGTTTTGGAGAATATGGTAAACTATGATACTAATAAAAAGAACTTCTGGCCTCTGCTGAAATGGAGCAGCTAACCCTTGCTTCTTGCAAGGTGACAGTGCCAAGAAATCCAGACCTTTATGAGTATAATACTGAACAAATGTTAAATCCTATATTAACAATGGAACAAGATGGTTAATTGTAACATTAAAACAAATAATAGGTTTGGCCAGATAGATCTTCGTTCCTATTAAGATTTAAACTGTTCTTCTTTCCCTACTTTGTATCACAAGTGTCTAAAGGTTTTAATTTCAAATTTTAAAAGGTTTGAAACTTTTCATTTTTCTACTTAATAAAACTCCTGTTAATTAGAAGAAAGGAAATTGATGTACTTGTAGAAGGTATAGGGGAACCATCCTAGTAGTCCTCCTTTGAACCCATTCCAATAAGTAAAATATCCTTAGATAAAAAGACCAGAATTGTACACAATATTTCAAGTGAGACTTAACTAGTGATGTGTATAGAGACATAATTATATTTCTTCATTAGTAGTAAATATGTATGTAATTGCACCCTAAAATTCAATAGGCTTTATTAGTAGCAAGAGAGCAATACTAAGCTTGGATGAATTATCCACCACTATGCCTAGATCCTTCAGTCAAACTGTTGTATTGAGTGGGTTCCCATCTATATTAAACATGTGATCCACAGTATGACAATTGAAATGCATTACCTTATACTTACAGGATAATTATAGGTCATTTCCCAGATATTTGTCAAACTTGCAAATTAATTTAAGTCATTCTGTAATATATTAATATCCTCAATATTGCTAAAATACCCAAGAGTTTAATGTATCAGGAAACTTTACTAGTTCACCAATTATGCCCTTATCAATATCATTAATGTAAATAGAAAGAGCAGAAGAAAAATGACAACTGAGATATTCTCTTAGTAACAAGGGTCCAGTTTAACTGGACTGCATTAATTACAACTTTTTGCTTTCTTTCATCCAATCACCCTACGATTCTGTTATTATTATGTCACATCCACAACCAATGTGATTCTTTTACCCACTGTATTTTACAGCATATAAGATGCACCCCTATTTTAGCAAAGAATATTTAGGGGAAAAACATTGGAGTGTGTCAAAGCATTTTTCTGTCCTTGAATGGGATTCTTAACCAACAGAAAAAGCAGAATTTACTGTTAGTCTCTCTAGGGTAAGGATATGTAAGTAATAGATTATTTTTTCAAATGACAAGCATATTTCAGTTGGTGTTTGTTGTGGATATCAGTGTCCCCAGCAAGTAAACTGTACTGGCCTGATGTTTCAGTAAGGAAAAAGGTCAGAGTATCATTTGCATGAGAGCAGTTTCAGAACTATTGCACATTGCAAGTAGGAACTGTAGTATACAGTAGTGTTCATGAGAATTCAGAAACACTACTACTTAGCACTGAAGAGCCTGGTAAACTGCTCAGCTATACTGACGCTAATCGTCTTTTATTGTTATTATATATTATAAATCCACTCATATATTTAAAAATTTTTTTTCATTAATTGTAAGCTTAGGTTCTTGTTAATGGTAGTAATTGAGGTGAGACTGTCATTCTTGTTTATATTTTCTTTTCCCCCATACAGTGTCATTTTAATGTTATGATATGAAATGGGAGATATCAGAGACAGATTTTTGGTATGTAGATTTGCATTCTGTATGTAAGGTCTGTACATGTATAATGGGAATGACTTCTATATTGCATAGATAGAAGTTTGAGTCACTTGTTCATTTTTAGGTTTGTTGTAAATACACATTCTTAGTTTAATCAGTATGATTTTTTGTTAATAGAAAATATTTTCAAGGCAGTACATTAAAGTACTTTTTCACATGTCTGTATAGGAAGCATGAAAGTTTTATCCTGATTGACTTGTTGTTGTCCGAAGTACATTATATGTAGGTGTGCTTTGTTTGGTGGAAAGTACGTATAAGCCACAGTGATATAAAGTAAGTAAAAAATGTACATTGCATGAAGAGAATTCAATACCTGTTTCACATCCTGCTAATTAAACACAGGAAGTTTGACATTTGATATGAGGTGTTGTTATATGTGGGTTAAGCAGGAAAAGCCAGTGTATATTTGTTTTCATCCACTTTGTGATACAAAAGAAAAATAATATGATATATTTTTAAAACTGTTTTTTGAACTAGCTAAAGTTGGTGTGCTGTTGTCTGGGTACTATAAATTTTAGCAAAGTGTTGTGAGAAACTGCAATGATCTCCATTTCTGGCTATACTGTTTCTCATTCATGAGGGATAGAAGTATACAAATTAAATATTTAGGCATGATAAAATAACACATTTTTATTTTTGCATTGTAAATAATGTTGAATATCTTTATTAAAATAATATTAAAAACAGTATATATGCAATTGCTTGCAATATAATTTTTGCATAGAATATACTCGTTTTTAGATTTATTAACCTTATACCAGTGCAAAACTTGCATTAAGGTGTTTACAGCACCATGAGTCACCGGTAGGTAGTACACAGCACATATAAGATATAACTGCACTTCGTATCTCCAAGGTCCATATTAAAGCGTTTATTTTGTACAGATGGCTATAATAAAGCCAAGCCTTTCATACCACTGGTAGAGCACAGATGCCATGTTAAAAGGACAACTGAAATAAAACAAGTTTACATGATTAAATCACTTTTTATTTTAAAATTACATCTAGAGACTGGCATTAAATTTATCATTATGAGTAACTGAAGCCAAAAACAAAGTAATTGAAACTTATTTCATAAATAAAAAAACTGTCATTTGATTATTATTATTTAATTCATAGTTTGCACCACCAGAGGTACACTCAAGAGAAAGCTGTCAATGCAGTCATTCTGTCATAAAACATAGCATAAAGCCATAAAATTAGCAGTATCTAAGATCGATTTTACAATGAGGCTTTACTTTTCTATTGGATAATTAGAGAAATCACTTATGCTGCATATGTGTTAATGATATTTTGCTGCTTATATAGATGTATATCTATTTAGATTATACAGTTGAAGTTCTGATCTATGTTAACAAAATCCTTTGAACAAATAGCATAATATAGATTATGAGATGGGCTCCGAGATCGTATAATTACGAATTATCTTAGAATCTTAAAGAAGTACATGTGAGTCACACATATGAGGAAAAAGAAGAATTAAAATATTAATTAGATTTTCAT